AAATGAATGGTGAGCTAGGGAGATAACGCCATGGATGGTGGGCCATGGAGATCGCACCACGAACTGTGAGCTAGGGAGATCACACCATGTATGGTGGGAGGGATATCACACCGAGAATGGCGTGGTAGGGAGATAACACTAGGAATGGTGAGCTAGGGAGATCGCACCACGAATGGTGAGCTTGGGAGATAATACCATGAATGGAGGGCAGGGAGATCACACCACGAATGATGAGCTAGGGAGATCACACCACTAATGGTGGGCCAGGGAGATCTCGCCACTAATGGTGAGCTAGGGAGATCACACAGTGAATTGTGGGCCAGGAGATATCACCACGAATGGTGAGCTAGGGAGATCACACCACGAATGGTGGGCCAGGGAGGTCTCACCACTAATGGTGAGCTAGGGAGATCACACCACGAATGGTGGGCCAGGGAGATCACACCACAAATGGTGAGCTAGGGAGATCACACCATGAATGGTGGGCAGCGATATCTCACGGATAATGGCGAATGGTGAGCTAGGGGAGATCTCACCACGAATGGTGAGCTAGGGAGATAACACCATGACTAGTGGGATCTACGTATATGTCCACTCTTTTTCCACCTCGTAACAGTTGCGTGATGTACTCCAAGCTTTTCAAATGCAACTCGATGCGATATACACGTAAAAGCTGATTGACTAGCTCTTACAATAAATATGTGTATATGTTCAACAATTTCGATTTTCTGAATCTGGGGGGTGTTTGACCTTTAGAGCAATTTGTTGATGCCCCCATGCAAAGGTCACACTGGATAGGATATCCTGGGAGGAAAAGGGGTATTACGTTATCAAACTCACCATTGTGGAAATCAAGTTATGTATCATTAAATGACCTCTTTAAAGAAATCACACCCTGGAAATAAAAGTTTATTAACTTAGACTAAATCAATGAAATAACTGCCGTACTAAATGTAGAACAAAATGGATACGGTAATGGGTTTATTAGGAGCTTTTAGCTTCACATGATTATATTCAGTATGAATTTGCTAAAATATTTTGAACCAAAACAACTTAAAAGTGGAAGGTAGTCATGTTTTCGGAGAATATATGACACCCTCCTATCAACACATGTATAATATATTTTGTTGTAATGTTATTTCAATGCTGATATCTGACCGGGGGGGGGGGGGCTTCCTGCAATTTATCTTACGTAGATGTGCCGCCCTTTGCCAGGCGGTGTTCAAGTTTTTTCAGCCATCTGGTCT